ACCTAAAATAATATCAATTTTATTTTTCATTCATTTTTAACATTTATAGCGCATATTTTTGTTTTTAACATATTATTATATTAGTTGTATTGTCAATACGATTATATTAAATAATGTTATAAAGTATAAAATATTTAAAAAATTTCAAAACAACTTTCAAACGTATTGTATTATATTACAGTAAAACTTTATCTGTATCATGCAATATCGCATTAAACATCGATAACATTACAATCTGCTGTTATTATTATACAAGATAGTTATAATAATATTTTAATGATTCGAATGTATTTTGACTTACATTGACTGCATATTTATAAATGTTAAGTGCGTATTCGGATTTTATCGCATTATTTTATCTTTAAAAAGCTAATTTATTTTGATGAGTTTTTGCCTTTTGGGCATATAAATCGGTTTCTTAATGTTATAGATATATACTTGTAGTACAAAACACTCGTTCGAAATTTCATTTTAATACATTAAAATACTTAAAATCTGTTTGTGCATTTAGCATACAAAACTATTGTAAGCAATCATTAAATTAAAAATTTTTTTTTTTTAAACCATTAATATATACAATATACTTTATAGTCTTCAAACACGAGTGCCATTTTTAAATAATTACTTCGGATACTCGGATTTCAGACACTTGAAGTATACTCATCAACAGTCTCACAGCTTCTTGCCATTTTTCAAACGTCCCTTTTAGATATTCCCGGTTATGATTTGTGAGCCTATCGATCGTTGTACGTTTTAAATAAACAGCGGCCGATTAATACATAGCTTTGACGCGTGCGTGCGACTTTCAAGGCAGCGAAACAATCGTAGGTAATCTCGTAGTGTAGTGACTCGAAAATTTGGGTATGGACCAATTGCGTCAAAAATAAAATTTTTATTTAGGGTCAGTGTACCTAGTTGCGCTTGTATTTAAATTTTGAATATTTGACTATATTTATTTATTTATATTATATTATATATTATTTATACTCGCAAAAAAATCAATTTGTTTTTTTTTTATGAAGAAAATATCGCAATCTGTATTTTGCTATAATTATAATTAACTAATAAGTTTTTATTAAGTATCTTAAAATGTATTGAGCGCAATTGGCATAGTATAAAATAGTAATTTTAAGCACAATAATTGGTAAACTCCCGAAAATTTTTACCAAAATAACAAATTGTAGAGTTTCGTCAGACGGTTCGATAATATATTGAATCGTTACAACAATAAATTCAATCAACAGGTTTTCTATTTGCACAAAAACACGACGACGGCGTTTATGATATCATAATACCTATTCCGGTTTATTATAATTTATAAGTGACGATTAAAAACAATCTCGTCGCTGCCGTCTGTAGGTATACGCGCGGCGTGTGTAATAATTTCCCCGAGCGCGCGCATTACTGCAATACTTCATACACTATATTATTTTTTATTACGTGCACGCGAATTTGTTTTTTACTTTTATTATTATTCCTTTTTGGCACGGTCGAGTGAATTACATTTACACGGAATGCGACGTTGTGTCTCTCCGCGCAATACCTATGTAACATATTACTGTATTAGCGACGACGGCACAGAGACACAACACTGCATCGCGGCCGTTATACAATATCATTACGTATAAATATATTATTAGTGTTGGGTAAAACAGCTAACGACGTAATTAAAACGGAAAACGAAAATAAAAATAATAATAAATTCGAAATCGACACACGCGGCAACGGTCGTCTCGACAATTAATAACAAACACGTCGCAGTCACGCGTAATACTGCACGCGCCGCTCAATAATAGTTTTAGATTAACATATATAATAAATATATATATATAAATACACTTACACGCGCACACTTATTATATATATATATAGAGCATAATATAAATAAATAATACGTAGCGCGTACAAGTTATTTTACAACTTTGTACGCTTACCAAAATACATTGTACGCAACAACAATATTGTACACGTTTTATTATTATTGTCGATTTGGCACTTTCGAATAGGTACGCCAACTACTACGTCGCCGTTTGAAATAATAACGCGCAGGTACCTCTGATAATACAACGGCAAAACGATAAATATCATGATATTATGATCGCAATGTTCATAATTTCGATCAACGATGGCGATATTAAGCGTAGGTACGCCATTCAAATATAGCATGTAAAAAATATAAAATCGGACGATATATATACCTCTGGGTACTTCACCGGCAGGGAAATGAAATCAATTTGTATCAAACTACCATATTTATTTTAGATTTAATTTTGACGGGTATTATCGTGGGAAATAATTGTTAACACGGCCACCCGATTATATGTATATACGTATTACATAATTGAGTTTGCAAATCGATAGGGTTGGGCGCGACTAAACATTATGAGACGACACCGCCGCCGCAGCCCGATGTGATTTTTTGTTCAACACAGCATTATTTATTATTATTATCGTAAAAAAATAATAAAAACATGTTTACACGTATGACTCAACGTTTTTAATGGCTGTCGCCGCCACACTTTGAGAGGTGTTTGTTGTACTTTTTTGTTTTGTTTTTTATTCGACGAGCAGCATAACTTTTAGTGCTCTTTTCGGAAAAATTGTACAAAATCGTTTGATTTTGCATTCGTAGCTCACCTCGTCATCGGGTCATCACGAGTGCAGCCTCTACACTCTTAAGACTGTTTTCATTTCTTTCGAGATCGTAAAAAAGATTTAAAAATGAAGAATATCTAATGGAAAAGTCAGGTAGAAAAAGAAAAACACAATTGATTAACAATTATATAAATATAATTTTAAGATATAAAAAAAGATTATACTTTTATAATGTATTTTTTGTACAAGCGCGCACGTTCGTTTTTTTTTATTTATATAAAATAACGCGATGCACAAATAATAATAATAATAATAGTAATTAAAAAAAAATAGTGTTAAAACTTCTTAACATCATTATACCGATTTACTTGCGAACAATATATAGGTACGGTACCATAGTCTACCTGTAATAATGTACAATGAGTAAATCTATATACAACACATTCACATCGTACGCATCATTATGTACATAATATTATGTATTTTAATAATAATAAACCAATTAATATATAAGTATATAAAATAGAAATAAGAAAGTATGGGGGGAGGTTTAATCATATTACACTTATAACGCTAATACATATATATAGAAAACAATATAATAGTAATAATAATAATGATAATAATAAGGTGAATAATATAATAATATAATGTATAATATTAGACCTTGTATTTTTTTTCGTTTTTATTTATTATTTTTTTTTTTTGTAAATACCTTAATATACATAAAGGTACCTGGTACATAGATATAATGTCATACATCTTATATTTGTATTATATATATATATATATATATATATATTGTATATAGATACATAATAAACATGACTATAGTGTATATTCTTGCACTTCAAAATATCATTTAAGGGCTAATATTAGGAAAAATATAATTAATTCATTACAAAACAATCTATAAATGCTTTGTTGAACAAGTATTCATCGTGTTTTATTAATGACGTTCAGAAAAGTTGTTGAAGTTATATATTTAAATTATAAAAAAAAATATTTTTTTTTGTTTGTATGAGATCAAATAAATTTTAGGGATTTTAATTAGTACAAAATGACTCGTGGGGTTCAAATGGTAAAAATGATACAAACACCACCGTATCGCTCGCCCTCGTTTCTCTTCATTAATGTACATGGTATTTTATTTTACACGATGTGTTATAATTATTACAGGTAAAAATCGAAAATAATCGTTCGTGGTTTTTTTTTCTTTTTTTTTTTTACTTTTGAATTTGAATAAAAAATACAGGTAAATCAAAATACGCTTATAATGTGTAAGTATCTAGCCAAAGCATAAAAAAAAATATGATGTTGAAAACATTCCTCTTTCTAATTCGGACAAAAGATTTTCATAATATATAATATACACACATAAACATACATATATACACACGTACGCGTATATATATGTATATATATATACACACATAAATATAATATTATAATTTTTTTTTGCTTTTTAATTTTCATAATCATCATACAAATGGAAGCACCCTATACTTAACAACACTTAAGCAACAGTATAATTATTTTTTATAATACAACGTGATAATGATTAAAATTTATGTTATATATGAATATATAAAAAACACCTAAACAAAATGTTCACACTTGGAGTAAAAAAAAATAACATTTAAAGACTATGAAGCAAATATTATAATTATCATTATTGTCTACTGAGGCTCTAGTATACTAACTAGCATACAATATAGTATTTTTACAATATTACGTTAATAGTGTTCAAAAGATTTTTAAAAAGCGATTCAGAAGTAAACCAAATTACATATAATATATTATAATATCATTAATTTTTACGAATACACGACAAACTTAAAAAAAAAAATAAACGTCGAGACATCACAAATTTTGATGAATTTTACGAGCAAAATATAAAAAGTCACGTCGTTTTTATATTAAATATATATTGTATATAAGCTTACAATGAAATATTCGACACGTATCGCACAATATAAAAAAAGTCTAATATATTTACACGATAAGAGTGAAATTAATTCCGATTGTCGTCTGCCGCCGACCAGTACTGTGTGTTGTATACATAAACGAATGTATAAAAACATAATAGTGGCAACTGCAGAAGTAGTAGTAATAATACAATTTTATGTATATATATCTTAGAAGACGTATACAAAAACAAACGGACATAAAAACTTACATGTGTGTGATTTATTACTCCAAACGCAAGCACGTCGACTTATATGTGTATTTTTTTTTCCTGCAGTATATAGATTTTCATATATATCTCAACATATCTATACATACATGCATACAATATATACATACTTGCACGCGTACGTATAGGTAGAATAAATATAACATGATACAAAAAAAAAAAAAAAAGAGAAAAACGTAATAAAACGAATAAATTAACTTAAAAAAAAAAAAATATATATATATATATATAACCAATCACAGCGGAGGACCTCATGTTTTTGTATTTATTGTGTGTGTGTGTTTTAACGGGGTAGTACGGGTCAGATACGGCGAACGACGACGATGCTGTCGGCGGGTTTGGCGGTGGGGAGGAGTGAGTTTGGAGCTAGCGGCGGTAGGGACGCATTTTTCTCCTCAGCCGTGAAGCACCTAGCAGTCGTTGATGATGCCTCGCACGTCCTCCCAGTCGGCGGTCACGCCCATATGGGAGAGTATGTCGGTCATGTCGGACGTGCACGTGAACTCGAGGTGCGAACCCTGCCGGACAGAGCCGTTGTCCATGTCGGATGATAAGCAGTCAATGTCCATCTTGAAGTCGGACGGCATCTGGATGAGGTCATCCAGGCACTCGAGGTCGGCCAGCGATGGGTTCTCGCCGACGCGGCCTAGCGCAGCCGTCTCCGATTCGCAGTCCATTGGCTCCTGTTTGATAGAGAAATACGACGATTGGGCGACGGCAGACAACGAGGACGACGACGGCGACGGATGTGCGGGTTCGGCCTTGACCAGAAGATGATCGTCCTTCATCAGGTTTCGGGCGAGCAGATCGGCTGCCGACTGATTGCTCAGGTGGTTGTTTAGGTTGTGGTGTTGGTGGAGTTGCTGGTCTATCTGTCGGGCAGACATGAGCGACGCGGCCGATCCGGGACTGAGCAACATGGCGTTGGCATTGGCGGTGCTGGCGTTGTTGTCACCGTCCTCGTTGTCGTCGTCGTCCACGTCGGTCAGCACTGTGATTGTGGCCGAAGTGTTGAGCGGGTTGAGCAACTTAATTTTGAGCGGCTTGACGACTTCGAAACACGACAGCGGCGAATCGTCGTAGAACGTGGCGCTCTCCGGCGAATTTGGCGAGTCGCATGTCGGGCTGGTCGGCACCTTAGCGTGTACCGAGGCGGGTACGCGCACCTCAGCCGTGTCCTTAGCCGTATCGATAGTGAAGTGATACTTTAATCGTTCCGTGTTCACCGGGCTCATTCTGTTCACCTGTATGATGCCGTTGCGTCGGACAAAAGACTTCGAAGACGACGTCGATGACGACGAAGACGATGAAGTTGTGTTGTCCTGAATCAACGACGACGACGACGACGACGAGACTGTGGAGTTCCTGTTCTCCACTACGCGCACCGTCTCAGAATTGAGGGCGGATGCGACGCGGGTGGACACGGTCACGGTGTTGCCGCCGAACTTTTTGCACAAATTCTTCCGGAATTTTGACTGAGCAGCAGCTGATGTAGTGGTCTTGGCGATCGTGACTGGGGCGGACGTGGTGGTTATGTTACCACTACTACCACTGTTCTTTGGCGTCCTTTTGCGAGGCCTGTATTTATAGTCCGGGTACTCTTTAAGGTGCATCAGTCTCAGCGTCTCGGCTTCTTCAATAAATGGTTTCCGCTGTTCTTCGGTTAGCGTTTTCCACAGCATACCGAGCTGTTTTGATATTTCCGCGTTGTGCATGTCCGGTTGATCGTGGCATATTCGGCGCCTCTCTATTTGCGACCACACCATGAACGCGTTCATTGGCCGCTTGATGTGGTTTGGATTATTTTTTTTTGTCTGTAACAAGAAAGAAAAAAAAATGCGCAAAATTAGTAAAAATTGGTCACATAATTCCACGTAACAGTGATACGTAAAATATCTATAATTCACTGTTGTCGTCTTTGGATGAACGACGGGACAACGTTATTATAGTACAATATTATTATTTATTAATATTTAATTGTATATTATATTATTACGAACGCGCACGTCAAACGGCAATAATAAAGATAGTATTCGTTGGCTAAACGCGTGTAAATAAATAAATAAATAAATAAAAAATAAATATCATTAATACAGACTTGCTGCTAAAAAATATAATTAAGCGGCGATAAATAAGTAAAACTAATTTAGTAGCATTATTTTAGGTTTTTTAGACAAGGAGAAATAATTTATATCAACCTTTTTACATACAAAAAATTATTTTTCTTCCAATTATTATCGGAACGTATTTATAATTTCTCCGACAAACGCCACGATTGTTTTTTGAACTATCGTATTCATTGGTTTTCCTCCGTTTAATCAAAAGAATACATTTTTATACAATTTAAAATCTACCGGAAATACTTTTGTGTACAAATATAGGTAATACTTTCAATAAAAAGTCATTAGTGTCGTTACCAACTACACAATGATTTGTTAAATGCGGGAAAGTATTAAATTATTATCAATCATACATTCATACTCCGTATATTTTAATTGTAACTTGTTTTCTTTTAGGGTGATGCAGCCGACCTAGGTTACACGCCTTTGAGCAAACCGGGGCAGAAATCCCCAGCCTCCAAAATCTCCATTTGGTCATAATACGAGTCTAATATGACTTCACTGTGGTAAAACATTATTATTATCGTAGCGGTGGAGTAACTGGCTGGTAGTAAAAATAGTAAAATAGTAATACAGAGCAGTAACAACAACAACAATGATAAAATAATAATAATAATAATAATAACATTGCCAATAGTATGTACGCGGTTCACCGGCGGCGTGCGCGCGGCGCTCGGTACCCGGCGGCGGCGGCGGCGGCGATTACTTTCACTGTCAAGGCGTCGTGCGAAGGCGATCGGTCGGTGGGGTGGCGGCGCGGTGTTGTGTAACAACTCAAGGTCATTAACGAGGCGCGCTCGCTAGTACGCCCGCAACCTCACGGAGCGCTTCCCTTCCCACCGACAACGTGACGACGGTCACGCGGAAAAGGCGAATGACTCATTGCGCGCGCACATAAATACATATAAACACACACACACACACAACTATACAACAACCTTCGGACGGGGCAACCACCTGTCTATCTGTGCGTCCGCGACCCCCTCGTTCTCGTCATCAAAGTTCGCTGCCGTCACACTCAATTTTTAATCTCGACCAGAGAAAAATATATATCCCACATAACTATCCATCATTGCAAGATTATCGCGCCTAGGAGGATAAAAACGAATAGGAAATTAACAAATTAAACGATCGGGGATTTTTATTTTTTATTTTTTTACATCGGAAATGATCGAAACGGATTGCTCGGCGATTCGACGATCGAATTTTGTAAAAATACATTTTCAGAATTGCGTTCGGAGGGAAGAGCGAATAACCAACCGGAAACTTAGTCTACGAGTATCTTCTTCCGGCAAATATCGAGACGCGAAAAAATACGTATTCAGTACGTGATCCGACCGCAATCACACACTCCAACTCATAACTACTCTTACCGGTATACGTGATATACGTACTCGGTGATAATAATTAATAATCAAAAATAATATAATAATTTTATCCAAAACCTTGAATGGTGTTTTGCCAATAACACGGTAAACACAATATTACTGAAAATATGAACATTTTATTTATAATATTTTATTTATTATTATTTATTATAATAAGTATATTTTTTTAGAAGAGAAAAATTATTTTTAGTCAATATTATACGACGAAATTATTTAGTAATATAATACCGAAGTCAATTCAAAAATTGCACTCGATAATCAGTCGAGATAATAAAAAACTAAAAATAAACGAATCAAATTGGACGATATACAAATGTAATAATAGTTATTAGATGGGCCTTTACATTTTTTAACTATAAATAATTAAATATGAATATTATAAAACCGTGATGTATTTTATTCCTGACCATATCATCTAAAAAATGACAGTTGAAAAGAATCAATTTTATCTTATCTTTTTATTTTGTTTTAATATAACTGCCGGGCAAAAGAGTTTTGCCATATACGGCATAGAACCAAGGTCTTTTGATTAAATATTTAAACACTCACGGACAAAACTATAATATACCGTGTTCACAAATTCGTTTCCGGGTAAATGTTTACACTAGCTACATTAGGAAAAATTAGTAGGTAAAATAATATAATTATATAAATTGGATATTATTTACAGCAGATGAGATTTTAATTAAATAATTAATATTAAGTATATCAAGATACTACATTTAATATTTTATTAATATAAATATTAAATATATTACAATTTTTATTCTAAAATTTGTTTTTATTAGTATAAATTAGATTAGACTTAAAATTGTTGGCAATGTTCAAGTTTGATATTTTAAGAACTAATTGTCTATAAATACAGATACTTCAAAAAATTATCAATATTTAACTTTTTACATTTTTTATGAGATTTTTTCTACGAACAAATTATTATTAAATTAGAATATATTAAATTTTCATTTTCATTTTTATGCAAAATAGAAAAATAAATACATTAAAAATAACATTTTAAAAAGTTTTAACTTGATTTCACTGGATGTGCAAATCTTGCACATCAGTTTAAAAATAATCAAATATGTTTTTTCCGAGGTTTTTTCTTAAGCGTATTTTCAGAAAAATCTATATCGGACATGGGTAAAATCTGCAATATTGTTATCTAGAAGGAAACAAAATTCCAATAATTAAATAATTTTGGTTACACCCTAACAAGTAAAAATAAATGACGCGTTAACTTCCAAAGTAACTATACAGCCGAAATACAATTTTATAAACTACGGCGTTGCCGGACAGTGGCGTGCAGATAAGATAACAGTCGCGTAAACGTTCGTCAAACATTTCTCGTAATCTCGGATGCACCAGGGAAATTTGGGTCACATTATTGCGATTTCAATTAATTTGATTTTAAAATTAACGAGATTCAGAAAATTAATATAATAATATATATATATACATTTTTACTATCATTATTATTAAATTACTATAGGAGATTATTTGTTTATTTTCGTGTTGTTATTGTTATTATTATTATTATTATTATTATTACAGTCGTTATTTTTACCACACGACAACTACCAAAAATTGAGATATCGATAATTTTTGATAATATAACTAATGCGCGATTATCGCCGGGAAAATCGTGCACGCGGAAATAAAAATAATTTTGGTAAAAAAAAAAACAAATCAGTTGGCTTGGGTAAAATACACTATTAATCAACAAGGAGATGACACGCACCTGTGTTGCATCGGAATACGGTGTCAGCGAATTTTCATCAACCAGTTGTGAGCCGAATATCGGCAGGGCCAACTTGTTATCCGACGAGGAGTCTATGATGCGGATCGTTTCTTGTTTAGGTACCATTTTGCGAAAAATGTGTTTTTATTGATAAACGCGTAGAAATACGTATCGTTGCGATCCAAAAGACACACGTCACACGTGATCGAAAAAAATAACGAAAACGCACCAAAAAAAAAAAAAAAAAAAATTAAATAAAATTTAAAATAAATTCAAAGTCTACACGCGTTCGAGCGAGGTAGAGGAAAAAAATATATTTTTTTTTCCGTCTAGCAAAACACGTCGTCGCGTAAAAAAAAACTGAATTAAAATATTTAACTCAACGATTTTGCCGACGACGAATAAAAAATAAAAACAAAATTTTTATTAATCGGCGGATGATAGGCACACGACTTGCAGTGCGCGCGATCTCTGCACTCGTGCAGCAGTTGTCGCGAGCGGTGAACGGAACACACTGGCACACGACCACAACGGTTACTACAACGGTCGAGTACCGTCGGCAAAGGCGGACGATCGCACACTGACTGGACGAACACTGCGCGGCGGCGTCGACGAGTGGCGACTGACGGCGGCGGCGGTCGTCTTCACTGAATGTCGCGGGGGGCGCGTTCACCACAACGCTTGTGCTGCTGCCTCCGGTCGGCGGCCGTTGCGCACCATGTCGCGTACTGCAAACGGTTGCGGGACGTGTGTGTGTGTGTGTGTGTGTGAGTGTGCGTGTGTGCGCGTTTGCGTATACCAGTAAGTCTGCTGCGCGGACCGAATTGAACGAGCGAGCGTGGTATACTGACGCCGGTTACGGCGGTCGACGGCCACTATAATACCGCCGTCCCCCTGCCACTCCCCGCTCGACCGTCGTAACTGCCGCCGCCGCCGCTGCGAAGACGTGTTCTCTCGCCACTAGCGCCCGCCGCCGCCGACGACGATATTATTGTTGTTATATTATTTTAATATATTATTGGGGCAACGCCACACGGCGGAATCCGCTCGCACTACGGTGCGCCGCCGCCGCTCGGCAATCACAGTGCCCGCCGTTGTTCGCGTATTTCGTCGCGACGATGTCACATTTCAGTAGTTGTTCTTTTACGTTTTTAAATTTTCACCGTCGTTCTGCCTCCTTAAACATTGTCGCCGACTGCATCGACGATTTCCGTTCAACGACTTATCGAGGGAACATTTTCCCACGATACCTTTAATCACTGTTATAACCGTCGTATAACACCGCTTACATAAAAAAATAATAATATCCCAATATGTAGTAGTGAACACATAATACGTACGAATTTTAAATAATAATTGTGTTATAAAACAGTTTTTTACGTTGTATAATTATTGGATATTTTTCGACCTCCGACATAACATCCGTGGGTGGGTGGGTGGGTGGATGAGGGGAGAGGATTCTCTCGGATTTATAAATATTCATTATCGTTGCAGTTACGCGTTATACGTTTTGTCGACTAAAACACTGAAATATATTTCAGGTTCGTGATTTTTTTTTCTTCGAATCTGTTAAATCCAAACAGATAAACGAAAATATAAAATATAATATATATTGAATATTGATATAGATAAGAGAAATGCGCCGATTCGAAGGGAAAGAAGTAACGGCGTTCGACGTTGACCACCCCCAAAGCTCTAAACCTATTTATATATATATATATATATATGTATACATACCGATTGTGCGCGGTTAACTATGCTGCAGCGGTGGTTTACTTTGTTCCTCGCACTAATTTCGTTATCGACGTCAATAACACTCGACTATTAAATCTGAACATCATATCTATATTATGTAGGTACATAACTGCGAGTCGAGTGTTGTCGACGGTAATGTTATTCGACCAGTCTTTGTCGTACTCTGAAAATTGATCGCGGTGATTTAATCACAACACTTTCAGTACACCCGCTGACGTACAGTAACGTTAACGAACAAACCGTCCGATTGACGTTTAATATCCTGCCTGACACGATTTGTTGACCTAATAATATTCTTTTTCAATCAATGGTTGGTATAATAGACGTGTTGTTTTCGACAAACTGGTACCATTAATTATCGTATGCGATTTATTAGATATATCGTATGCGTCGTACAGTTCTGCTTTTACAAACAATCGTTTGCCGTAGATATATTGTTGTGACACGGTCACTACGGCACTACACACGAGTAGTTTATGTAAATCATAAATAATAATAATAATAATAATAGCAATAACGACAACTAAAATAATTATTAATATTATTACAATACACACTTTTATGATTAATTAACAACACGAGTAAGTAAATTCATCCGGACGGTTCGTTGATACGCGGAGTGGTCGTTCAATTTCTCAGGAATGTACGTGAAATGCCTATACAAAGCGCCTGGTTATATTATATCCGTTGCGTTACATTACACTTTGTCTTGTATGTAATTAAAATTATTACTTCTATTACTTAACATGTATATATATCTTTTATAATTGCAGGTATGACGCGGTTAAAGTTAAAATCAATAAAATTCTGTTTGCTTAACTAATTAAAATTAAAGTTAAATTAATTTTTGTATTTTACAATAATAAATATAATCAATTAACTACATATTATTTTAATCTATGTAATTATTAACTATTATAAATTCTGCGATTTATCTAAATGAATAGCATTAAGATTTAACTTAATTGAAAAAATGTTGAATTGTTTGAATATTATAATAATATTAACTAAATATTTACATTTATTTAACATAATATAAAGTAATGAGTTTAATAATACAGACTTGAATTTGTTTTAACTTAATAATATCTGATTTTACTTAATCGTTTAATAAGTTATTACATAATAGGTATGATTGTCTTATTAAATTTTTTATACATAATAAGTTTGCCAATTGTTTTTTCTGTATAAGTTTTTATCGGATTACACAAGAAAAACATTTTTTTGAGTGTTTTAAAATAAAGTTTTTTTTTTAAAAAAAATTTTCACTTTTGTATAAAGATGTACAATTGGTATTGAAGTAAATACTTATAATACTTTTTTATGATAATTTAAAAACATTTGTTACATCTGCTGTGCTAAAATATTAAAATTAATCCGTTTAATATTTATTTGTTGAATGTTCAAATACTTAATATATCTTTTTAAATGCAATATTATATTGCATTTATTATATTGTAAATATTCATCCAAATTAAATTTATATTCTTATCCTCAAGTTCGCAAATGAAGTATATTAATATTTAAATTTATACATAATACATTTTTTCCAGTTCCTGATTATTGTAATAAAAAAATATGAAATTAATTTCATACACATCTGAACCATACAAAGAGTTTAATATATGTATACTCAAGTTAAAAAAAAAAAAAAATGAATACACAATTTACTTTATAAGCATTATATAAGCCAATGGTTATAGATGATATACTTGATATTAGATTAACCTAACTTTGAATTTTATGATGTAAAGTTAAAAGATTTTTCTTTGAAAAAAAATTTAACTAATTTTCGTAGGTTTACGTGTTATTTTAATAATAAATATCTGTATATATGTAAAGTTGTTTTATAGACTTATTTATATTATTTATTTATTAGCAGCTATTCCTAATTATAAGTTTAATTATATTAATATTATGTCAAACTATTTTTTATAAAATATTATTGTTTTAATGTATTTTAATTAGTAGCGTGGAATGACAAAGTCTGTTTATTGGTATTTACTTGAATTGGTATGTTTTTAGCTTGAATAAAAATTAAATATTGTTAAAAGAGAATTAAAATATAAAAGTTTAAATTTAAAAAGCTATTTTAAGTCCATCGGATTGTAGTGAACAGTTATGTTGTTACAAATGCAGTGGCTTTCGCTTTGTGTACTTATACTTTTGAATGGGAATAAAATTATAACAGTATAGTCGATTGATAATACCTAATAACTACGAGTTATGCCAATGGGGAAAAATATATGTAACAAATTCAATTGAAGGTATATTAAACATAATACACCAGGGTCATAAAGTATACTCGTATATCTACCGGGGTGATTACCATGATACAAATATTGATTTTATGCTTTTCGTATAGGTCGTGTACTCGTGTAGTTAGTGGTCGCTGGCGATCAACCAATATTTCATGTATATTATTACAGTATTAATTTACAAAAATATCTCTTCGGTAAACGTCAAATAATATATTTAATTAAATCTAATAGTAGCTGCATAATTGAATACACAGTAAGCTGTTAACCAAATACTGTATATTTGAAATTTAAAACGCGCTTCTGGATTTATAATATAAAAATAACTATAGTTTTAAAACTAAAATATTTCTTCAAATAAATAACATTAACTCTTGTTACGATTTAATTAAAGCTTTTGATAATGAATTAAGTGTAACACTGGAGTTTCATTAAATCATATTTAACGAAAAATATTAGTGATGAACATAGTTTAAATGAAAATTTAATTTTGTTCTTCAATTAACATATTAATTATTTTAATTTCTTTTTTATTGTTGACATGTTTAGTAATAGGTATATTGACTATCAGACTATGTTACTTAAAACGAATATAAAATGATATTCATGTAAATTAAAACTATTTGTAATTAATTATAATTTTTATACTTAAACCGTTAAATTAGAATAGTGAATGTTTTAATTCATCATGATTGCATTGTAAATTTAATATACTTTCTTCCTAT